AGCAGTCGCCATTACGACTTACTTTCAAACGATATTAAACTAAGTGCTATGTACCGGACAATAAATATTTATTCGTCATAATATTGGTGATTTTATTTAGATCATAACCTATATCAATAAACATGTCTGAGACTGGTGGTAGGACCTCTTGTGAGTCCGCGCCGGTAGGTACCACCACCCTGCTTATTTCTGCCGTGAAGCAGCAATGCGTTTCGGTTTGAAGGGTGGGGCAGCCGTTGTAACTATACTGAGACCTTAGAAATTATATCGCAAGGTGGGTGGCGCATTTACGTCGTAGATGTCTATGGGCTCCAGTAACGTCTTAACTCCAGGTGGGCTGTGAGCTCGTCCACACATCTAACAAGTCATACGGCTAAGTTTTTTTAAAACAAATAACTTCGTACCTTATAAATCAACATACAATTATAGTCGAAATAGAAAGTATCTTAGTATCTCCTTACTAAAAAAGCCTTTGAAAATATGTAAATGACATAATTTTTGGCGGGAACATTAAATGTCAACTTGTTTTTTTTTTTTATTGCTTAGGTGGGTGGACACGAGCTCACAGCCCACCTGGTGTTAAGTGGTTACTGGAGCCCATAGACAGTCATCCACAACGTAAATGCGCCACCCACCAAGTATGGTTACTACGGCTGCTCCACCCTCCAAACCGAAACGCATTACTGCTTCACGGCAGAAATAGGCAGGGCGGTGGTACCCACCCGCGCGGACTCACAAGAGGTCCTACCACCAGTAATTACGCAAATTCTAATTTTTGCGGATTTGATTTTTATTACACGATGTTATTCCTTCACCGTGGAAGTCAATCGTGAACATTTGTTGAGTACGTATTTCATTAGAAAAATTGGTACCCGCCTGCGGGATTCGAACACCGGTGCATCGCTCAACACGAATGCACCGGACGTCTTATCCTTTAGGCCACGACGACTTGTGTGAATCGTCGTCTTTTGTTAGTTCAGCGTTACTCAAATTTAATACGTACTTTGTTGGCTTAATTAATTCAAGCGAAACTAAATCACAGGCTGAAAGATTCTTCCAGAAAGGTCAGTGTACTTTCAATCAATTCCCATCATTTCCGAAGCGCCACCTCATTGACTAAAATTTCATTTTATTGTTGCATTTGAGTTCTAATTCAACAAACACAACTTCTAGATTCAACTGTATTACCAACGTTTCTTTTACCTTTTAAATAATCTTAAACTTATCTTAACTTCACTAAACTACTTGCTACTGGCTTGAGCGAAGAAATCGATAATTATTTGACATTTATCTATATATTAATACGTGAAGCAAAAACTTTGTATCCCTTTTAACGAAAATTGCGCGGACGGAGGTGTATGAAATTTTCCACACTTATAGAGAATATAGAGAAGTGCACAATGCTAATATTTTTTTTTAAATAATGCATAAAAGATACATTAAATCAATAAAGAAAACATTACACACACTAAACACCATGTATTTGACGCACACACGCATGCATACTATTTATTGTCAAGCTTTTGTTCTTGACGTCTGTTGTCAAATTGAGATTAGAATAAATATTGTTTGTCTTTATTAATATTTTTTTTTTGAGTAGCCTTGGTGAAATTTGTGTTTATAGAAGTATAAAATACAATGATAATAGTGTACAAACTTACAATTCTAATTAATTATAGTCGAATTTCGACTACTGCGGGACCACTAGTATTCGTTTAATAGAGATTAGTTACAACATATGAAAGTTTTTACAAACGAATTGAATAATATCTACTTGTAATTATTTTTATTGATGCAATTACGCATTATGTAAGAACGGTAAAATGATTGTAAGCGATATAGAAGGAGAACAATACTATTGTTATTATTGGAAAGGTCTATATTTGTTTGTCTGTAAACTCAGAGCTTCCCCTACTGAGAGGATCTTAAGGTTGAGAACCAGTGGAAGTGGATACACTGCCTGCTCGAGCCATTGCAATCACCGACTTCCCACCTTACATCTGGGTTTTTATTTTCCACCATAACGTAAATAATACCCGCTTATTTTTTGGCACGCAGTAAGCCTTCAGTTTTGAGAGCCATGAAAAGCGTTGTTTCATGGAATGGTCCGGGGGTTCCGGTAGCCAATTAAAAATAGGTGGATAAAAATTTACATGAAATCTCCTGGAGCTTTTTTACTGGTGGTGGGACGTCTTGTGAGTCCGCGCGGGTAGTTACCAACACCCTGTCTATTTCTGCCGTGAAGCAGTAATGCGTTTTGGTTTGAAGGGTGGGGCAGCCGTTGTAACTATACTGAGACATTAGAACTCATATCTCAAGGTAGGTGGCAGAATTTACATTGTAGATATCTATGGGCTCCGGTAACTACTAACTCCAGATGGGCTGTGAGACCGTCCACCCATCTAAGCAATAAATAGAAAAGCACAAAAAATATATATTAAAAAAACAAACATAACCATGGGACTGCACTAGTGCTAAAACAAAAACCACTTTCGATTGTCGAATGAAAATCTTTACGATTATAATACATCGTTCGAACAAGTCATTTGAGGAACTTTTACTTTTCATTCGGTTCAAAAAATGTTGAACCCTATTGTAATATTTCGCAACTTGTTTCTCCGAAGAGAAGTAGGTTGAACTGGCAAGTAAAAATTTGCACCAAAAAGTATTATTTTTTAAGAAAAAGATTTTACTACACTCTGAGCTGACAAGTAAAAAATTCGCGCCAAAAAAAAAAGAAAAAAAGAGGTTTTTATTTTAGAGGTTTTATTGTAAAACTGTAGGTACACGCCACGTGTTTTAGAGCAAAGTATGCTGAGTAGGTGCAATGCAAGCTGTCGTCGTGACATGAAATTTGTGAATTAATAATGATCTTATCTCGTATGACAAATAAAGAATTTTCTCTCATTATTTTCAAAACTCATTTATGAAAAAAAAAATATATATAATCGAATTTATTTAAATTCAAAAACCCAAACCTCAGGGTTGCCATTAACGCGATTTACCTCATTAGAATTCTTATTTTGCAATTCAAGCGGGAAATATCATGTAGACTAAAAATAAAAATGCACAAACATTGTTTAGTATTTATTTGAGTCACGTTACATTTACTTCTTTTTTTTACTTTACTGCTGTACCACGGGATAAACGCGAAAGTTGTAAGAATATATGGATGTATGTTTGTTAGTCTTTCACGCAAAAACTACTGGATAGATTTTGATAAAACTTTACAATAATATTCACTGGTGGTAGGACCTTTTGGGAGTCCGCACGGGTAGGTACCACCACCCCGCCTATTTCCGCCGTGAAGCAGTAATGCGTTTCGGTTCGAAGGGTGGGGTAGCCGTTGTAACTATACTGAGATCTTAGAACTTATATCTCGAGGTGGGTGGCGCATTTACGTTGTAGATGTCTATGAGCTCCAGTAANAGTTATACACTTAATATATTTGAGAGCTATACAATACTATACATTTTTCAGCCATGTTTTTTTGGTTTTATTTGTGTATCAATAGTATGTTCAGTAGGTCTGAGAATCGGCTACTATCTATTTTTCATACCCCTAAGTGAAAAGGGTTGTCCACCCCAAACATTTATTTCTTATTTTAATTTTTTGGATTTTTTTTTTGTTTATAATGAATTATGTGGTTAAATGAGGTTTTTTTTTCTACAGTAGAATTTCCCTAGAAATCTTATTTAAGGCAACACAACGTTTGCCGGGTCAGCTAGTACTAATATATAAATCTACAGTGGTTTTACGGATGTTCCGTTATAACTACTGAACCGTGCATCCGATTGACTTGAAACCTGGTATCCATGTAGAAAATACATGTACTTAATGGATAGACTAATATTTATATGAGTGTTGGACTCCCTACACCAGTTGCGGGGACGTTAATAATGAGAATCTTTTTGGGGGTGAGAAATAATAATATTAATTTTAAATGCCCAGCGAAGCGGACTGGTACAGCCAGTAATTTTTAAAGATATGTGGGTATTACCAAAAATATAATGATACGTGTCAGTTAGGAAGGAAAAAGTCCGCCATCTTTATGCTATTTTGGCGTGTATCGCAAAAGCCGTTGAAGTTACATGCATAGAATGTAAAATGGAAATATTTATCTTAAATAGTCCTACAAAAAAGACCACGACAGAATATATCTCTTTTATTTATAAGCCATTAACGCCAAAATAGACAACAATGCATATATAAGAAGAGGAAAGATTAGGTTTTTTGTTTGTTACTATCAGGACCAGACAGATATGTTTAATAAAAAAATCAACAAGATGAATAATAAATTACCTATAGTTCCCGAAGCGAAGCGAGAATGGGTCGCTAGTTTACAATATACATATTTGTTAAGTTTAGCTTTCATTCGATGCTCAGATATTATTTATTTATTGTCTTTATTACACTTCTTGTAAAATTTACATTGACGGACTTAATGCCTAAAGCATTCTCTACCAGCCAAGCAAAGGTAGTGCACAGTAAAATATAGTGGTAGGTGCAATGAAATTACAAATACATACACAAAAAATATATATACACACACACCCACATATACACAATCACATACACATATACACATACATTCATAAATACAAACATATAATAGTTTATACAGTATTAAAAGGAATATATTAATAAATTCACGATATTAGGTACGTTATATCTATATGAAAATTTTGTTCCTGAACGTTTAATTTTTTTTATTAAATCAATAAATATTTTTTGATAGACGTGTCTCTGCCACACCAGAACCGGGAAAAGCGCGATGAATCCTAATTGAGTTCATTCATAAGACACTACGAGCGTCGAATGAGAACCGGTACAAAAGAAAGTGGGCGCTCCATACGTATCTTATAAAATGCTAACACGCTCGCGACCCGGGCTCAGTGCAACCTTGAACCGCGGCCAGTGAATTTCACCAAAAAAAAAAAAACAAAAAAAAAAAAACGAACTGATATTTCGTTCAAAAAATCGTTCGCGCCATTTTCAAAAGTGAACTCTCTTGTCTTGTCAGTGACATTCGGAAATTTTGAAGTTTTGCGATTTAAAACATGAAGTTTATAACTTTTTTCATTTTGATTTTCTGTTTGAACGAACGTGTCTCGAGCGCGGGGCTCGTGGAGAGATCTTACGAGTACATGATGAGCTTCGGGAAGAGCATAGCCCCGAGTCTGATGACCTTCATGGATTGCGTGGGCGAGGACGAATTCTGGGGATGCGCTAGGGAGCGACTCAACACACTCCTTGACGGGTGGAACGCGCAGGTCCAAGAGCAGAGAAGGAAATGGAAAGGTTTGTGTATGAATTTTCTAAAAAATTTTTTTTTTTAATTCTTCCTATAGCCATTCGTATTTGGACAGATTGTTACTACAAACGAAAGACTTAAGATGAATCCTAATAATTCCTACGAGCGTGTTCATAACGTTTTAACCGATCAATAATTAAAAGGTGAAGTCGTCGTGGCCTAAAAGATAAGACGTCAGGTGCATTCGTGTTGAAGCGATGCACCCGTGTTCGAATCCCGCAGGCGGGTACCAATTTTTCTAATGAAATACGTACTCAACAAATGTTCACGATTGACTTCCACGGTGAAGGAATAACATCGTGTAATAAAAATCAAACCCGCAAAATTATAATTTTCGTAATTACTAGTGGTAGGACCTCTTGTGAGTCCGCACAGATAGGTACCACCGCCGTGATTTTTGCCGTGAAGCAGTAATGCGTTTCGGTTTCAAGGGTAGGGCAGCCGTTGTAACTATACTTGAGACCTTAGAACTTATATCTCAAGGCGGGTGGCGCATTTACGTTGTAGATGTCTATGGGCTCCAGTAACCACTTAACACCAGGTGGGCTTTGAGCTCGTCCAACCATCTAAGCACTAAAAAAAGAAAGTAAGACTAAGATGAATTCTAATAATTCCTACGAGCGTTTTCGTAAACTTTTAACCGACTTCAATAATTAAAAGGCGTTTCGCAATTCGACTATATCTCGTGTTTCACCTCAAAACTTTTCTCTAGCTACTGCTTCTCTTTCCTTCCTAGTCGTACACTCTTGACAGAGTGGTCGTGGTCATGCATCAGTCGGATCCTGTGACACCGATGCGCAAACCGAAACGCATTACTGCTTCACGGCAGAAATAGGCAGGGCGGTGGTACCTACCCGCGCGGACTCACAAGACGTCCTACCACCAGTAAAACATTATAAAGCATAACTGAACATTAACAAACAAATACCACATTTAAAATGGAAATTAAGTATAAGGAAAAACAGGCTTTTTTATGTTCATTTTATAGTAACTATAGTTAATACAAGTCGTATCCTTGTGCACTGTGTTTTTGTAAAATTATCACATGCAAATAATATGTAAAAAATCTCTTCAAACTTCGACCTCACGTTCCAAGGTGACCGCATCGCTGTGATGTCTGTGATCCGGTAACCAGCTAACAATGACGTCTGCCTGTCGATCTGTTGCCATTAAATCATCTCCACGGATGAATGGCTATGGTTTAAGCATCATTATTGCAGCTGTACGGAGGATTACCATTTAAAGTTTGGAACCCTCAGACACAGCCCACTGAGTTTCTCGCCGGACCTTCTCAGTGGGTCGCGTTTCTGATCCGGTGGTAGATTCTGCGAAGCACTGCTCTTGCTAGGGTTCGTGTTAGCAACGTCGTCAGGTTTGTGCGCCGTGAGCTCACCTACTAGTTAAGGTTACGCTGAAATAGCCTCTCAAGGCTCTCAGGAAAAAAAAAGTTTGCAAACAAAATCACAACAAAAAAAACTTCTTCAGCCATTTGAATGGAGTGAACTTAATTGAAGTTAAATTAAAAACATCGAACTGTTGATGCTTTTTTTTTTTATTGCTTAGATGGGTGGACGAGCTCACAGCGCATCTGGTGTTAAGTGGTTACTGGAGCCCATAGACATCTACAACGTAAATGCGCTACCCACCTTGAGATATAAGTTCTAAGATCTCAGTATAGTCACAACGGCTGCCCCACCCTTCAAACCGAAACGCATTACTGCTTCACGGCAGAAATAGGCGGGGTGGTGGCTAAGCTGATGCTAGACTGTTGAGGCAGTCCATCAGATCAATCCTGGAACAGGCTCGGAGCTTACAGACACCCTAAGCTCCTGATAAAAAGCTGAGTGATCCATGAACAGTTCGCGAAAATTGACTAAATCGGACCTAAATCGCTTGATGATAAGGCTCTCGCACAGAGAAAGCTATCTGACTTCCGCATATCCGCGTTCTCGCATAATTATGGTCTAGATTTACAAGCACTATACGATTTCGTTGACACAAGCGCTTCATTCAAAGGCATTCATTAAATAAGCGCATTAAAATGTACGATTTGAAAAATGAAATTAAGTCTTAAATTAGAAATGAAACCCGCAAAATTATAATTTGCCTAATTACTGGTGGTAAGACTTCTTGTGAGTCCACCCATCTAAGCAATAAAAATAAAAAAATAAAAAAGGCAGTACAAAATGCTTTCACACAGTTTGTAGAATCTAGATCACCAGAGTTCTATTGCAAAGGCATAAATGACCTTCCTATTAGATGGCAGCAATGTACAGATAATAATGGTAGATATTTTGATTAAATAAATATGTTAAATGAATAAAAAAAACGAATTTCAATTTTTCAATGCAAATCGGCAATTTCATACTTTAACCCCTAGTATAGCGTAGCGAAATGATGCTTAAACCAAATAGTTTTTCACCACGGTCTTTCAGACGGTAACCACTCACCATCAGGTAGGCCGTATGCTCGTCTGCCTACAAGGGCAATAAATAAAAAAAACCTAGTCAATCTTTCGTTTTACGAGATCATTTTGAGTTGAGATAAAACATCGTATCTGTGTGTGCCGTAACGAGGCTAGAAATGCAGGTGTCATCCATTCTAAGTGCCAATTTACCGCCAGCTCACGCCGCAACTATTACTATAAGATATAAAGGCATCTACAGACAGATCGCGTTAAATTTTTCCGCTACTTCTCAGTCGATGGGGTATTTGATGACGCGTCTCTATTGATAGTGGTAATTTAGGTACCTCAAGCACCGGTCACCGTCCTCGCCGAACCCGTCGCTTGCGACGAAGGGCTCGACGAGTAAATTAACCCATAGACACAGCCCACTGAGTTTCTCGCCGGATCTTCTCAGTGGGTCGCGTTTCCGATCCGATGGTAGATTCTGCAAAGCACTGCTCTTGCTAGGGTCAGTGTTAGCAACACTCCCGGTTTGAGGCCCGTGAGCTCACCTACACGCTAGGGTGAAGCTGAAATAGCCTCTTAAGGCTATCAGTATAGGAGGAAAAAAGAGATAGTGGTAACAGTCGGTTATGCAACTCCGGAGCCCTTGAATGCCTCCGTCTAAAGGATAACCCGGCGCATTCGTGTTGAGCGATGCACCGGTGTTTGAATCTCAGGCGAGTACCAATTTTTCCAATGAAATACGCACTCAACAAATGTTCACGATTGACTTCCACGGTGAAGGAATAACATCGTGTAATAAAAATCAAACCCGCAAAATTAATGCGTTTCGGTTTGAAGGGCGGGGCAGCCGTTGTAACTATACTGAGACCTTAGAACTTATATCTCAAGGTGGGTGGCGCATTCACGTTGTAGATGTCTATGGTGTCCAGTAACCATTTAATAACAGGTTGGCTGTAAGGACGTCCACCAGACTAAGCAATAAAAAAAAGCGAAACAGGGAACGGGTCACTTGAAGCGAAGCGGAAGAAGTGAATTACGATTTGTAAAGTGTTTTATGTGAATGTTCTAAGTGTTAGTTTGTATAGAGTTTTAGTTTGTACATCGGTGGAAGTTTTGTTTATCCCGAACCCCAGCGCGTAACAGCGGCGGTAGGCAGCGGCTTGGCTCTGCCCCTGGCATTGCTGAGGTCCATGGGCGACGGTAACCACTCATCATCAGGTGGGCCGTATGCTCATCTGCCTACAAGTGCAATAAAAAAAAACAAAAAAAAAACACTGTGCTATACAGAACCGCACGACAATCGTAGTCGCGCGATGTCGGTACAAGCACTAACCCTTAACATACAACTAAGTTGTTTTTGCTCGCACAGTTGCACTAACCACTTACAAGCTTACCCCGGATTCGTACCGTCGTCCTGGTTATTTATACCACTAAGACAACGCGGGTTCCGGCTTGGAAAATAATTTCTAAAATTTGTTTATTAAAAAAAAAAACAGTCGTAACGCGCACGCACATTTCACGTTCAAATCCGGACTCCGCATATTGGAAGAACAATATCGAGATGCCAAAGGCTATTATATATAGCGAAGCTTTTGCTACTTCACAGGAGAGCCATTTATAGTTTAAAATTTGAACAAAATAACAGGACATAAACAACTTCTTCAGCAATTTGAATGGAGTAAACATAGTTGAGGTTCAATTAAAAACATCGGGTTGTTGATGCTCATACCAAATAAAACGGACATTTAATTACAAAGATAAATGTCGCGTAATCAGAAATATAATGAAATGAATATACTAGTAGTAATATAATAACCCGCAAAATTATAATTTGCGTAGTTACTAGTGGTAGAACCTCGTGTGAGTCCGCGCGGGTAGGTACCACCGCCCTGAGTATTTCTGCCGTGAAGCAGTAATGAGTTTCGGTTTGAAGGGCGGGGCAGCCGTTGTAACTATACTGTGACCTTAGAACTTATATCTCAAGGTATAATAATAGGCAGAAAACTGTCTTCAAGCTAGGCACGACCTTCAGGAATGAAGATACTGACTCGGAAGAAGATGACACTAAAAAAACTTAATTAGTGCCATGTTGTGCAGTTGTGGTCTTAGGGTACCTCGCTGGAGTTATAAAATATAGGGCCCTGTGTGCTTAGTGCGAGTTTTTTAACGTAAAAGTTAACTCAAATTTGTAAAGAGTTGGAACTTTACATACGTTTGCCGCCAGGGGCGCTGTTCCAACTCCATACAAATTTGAGTTAACTTTTACGCTATCGAGAAAGTTAAAAAACTCGCACTAAACACACCGGTATCTCCACTTCACGCTGTGATTAGTCCTTAACATCGCTAGCCTATTATTAATAACTGACTTACTGATATAAAACTATTAATAATGAAAAGTAAGCACCTTTGATTCATACCATGCAATCAGAATAAAAACGGATAGAAACGGATAAATGGCGTTCATTTTCAATCTTAGTCTCCAAGAGCCATTTCGACGAATTAAAATGTAATCCTGAAGACGAAACCGCAATCCTAACAAACCGCCAGCCCTAAAGACACTGTTAGTTCTTTCTG